TGTCTCTGTTTTTATGACTAGGTAACTAATTCTATTATCTCCTAATGAGGGTACAGCTTTAAAACTCAGTTTTATGGTTCTGAGGTTGGCTGGTAGTCAGGTTTCCTGAACTCTGTGGTAGCTCACAGAGAGGCTAATTCCATCAACAGCTGTAAAACATCAGAGTATTAAAAGTATCATGTTGCGCATGACTGGTGTCCCTGTTCATACTTTTGGTGTGCATTGTTGAGGCCACATTTGGAGCTCTTTGTTACAGCTTAGGGTTTATTAACAGTAACGAGGTAATTGCTTGGGCTATTAAATAGTATACTGAGAACTATCTATGCTTTGAATCAAGTTCTTTAACAAACTTAAAAATGACTAAAGTACCAAAAACTGTGACACAAAAAACCATTGTCATCATTTGCTAATATTCATGGTCTTCGAAGTAACTTTACTTCTGTTAAGTCTTACCTCTTGCACCAGACTACAGTTACCAGACCTACTTGCTTGACTTACTTGCTCTTTGTGAGACTAATTTGAGTTCAGCAGTCTCATCTTATAATCTTAGTGTTGATGGTTATCTTCCTTAAATTCGTAAAGACTCCAATAGTCACATAGTTGGCCTGGGTATTTTCATTTGTAAGAATTCCCCGATTTGTAAAGAACTAAGGTTTGAATCCACAGAATATTCTTTTTTGAGCTTTTGCTTAACACTACTTCACTCTATCACCTTTCTCTTTGTTCTATATTGCTCTCCTTCATCTCAAGACTGCACTGTTTTTGATGTTATTTCTGATCAAGTTGACCAAACCCTTCCCCTTTATACTTCAGCCAATATAGTTATTGTTGGTGATTTTAATGCTTATCAAACTGAATGGCTTGGTTCTAGTGTCAGTGACTCTGCAGGTGTTAAGACCTACAACTTTTATCTTTCTCAATCTCTAACACAAATAGTCAACTTTCCAACTTGCTTTCCAGACAATCCAAATCATTTACCTTCTCTACTTGACTTGTTTTTGATCCTAGTCAGTGCTCAGTTTCTCCACATTCACCCATAGGTGCTTCTGATCATAGTTTGATCTCTCTAAATCTATTATCTCATTTTTCTTCATCATAAGAATTCCCTTATCATCGTACCTCTTACAACTACCTTAAAGCTGACTGGGGCTCTTTCCGTGATTTTCTTCCTGATGGGCCTTAGGTAGAAATCTTTCATCTTCCTGCTGACAATTGTGCTTCTTATACAACTTCTAGGATTCATGCTAACATGAGATCTTTTATTCACTCTCAACAACTCAAGCCTCACTCTTTTCAAGGACTTTCCTCTCATTGTGCTGTTGCAATTTTTAATCATAACCATTACTTCCATATCTATTGCCAAAACAGATCTCTATTTACTGTTCTGTTTACTGTCTGTTTACTATTACTAGAAACCATTGTAAATAGGTTTGGTCTAACCCCAAAGCTCAGGTCACAAAGTCTTGTATTTCATCTCAAAAATCTGTTAAATATTTTCCAGAGACTTTTAGGGAATCATTAACAGTGTCAATAATAAGAACAAATCCTCTCTTGCATGGCTCAGATTTTGTTAGCTCATGTACAGACAAAGCTTAATTAGTTGTTAAGAACTTTTCATCAATCTCATCACTTGATTTCACTAATCACATCCTACCTGATACAGCTGACAAACAGGTTGATCTTTTGTTTAACATTTTTTCAGCTAATTGTTACCGCAACAATCTAGATCTTTCTATATTTAGGAACGATAGTGTACTTGATGAGTCATCAAGTACATGATCAGACTAAATCATTTTCAGACTAAATCTTACTTTCAATCTTTCTAAATATAAAATTTTTTCAAACAGATACGAAAACGATGCAGAACTTTCTAAAGAAATATGGAAACATAAAAATGCAGGTATTATGCCGTTAATCAAGTGGAATATTATTAAAAAGTGTCAATCATATAATCCATCAACTAAAAGATGTAATCTTTGTTTATATGAAAAGTATTTAATTATGACTTATGATCAAGAATCATTATTTAATAAAAAAAGTGAGTTGGTTTCTTCTTGCATGCATAGAAAAAAATTTCTGCTTTCACAATTCAATACCGGGGATTAGAACTCATGATATCGTCTGACGTAAACTTGACATCAGATACCGTTGCAATGCTAAAAATTGTATTTTTTAACGGTTTTTTATTTCTTAAATTTTGAATAATATGGCTGAATGATTGCCAAATGGCATGAAACTAATAGTTGTATTTATAAAAAAGTTGTATTTTTTCATTTAAATTATATATATATATATATATATATATATATATAATTAAAATTATTATTTAACAATTATATCAAAACTGACTATTAAATTACAAAAACTTAAAACAAATCGTCACTTAAAAATCAATATCAAGTTAACAAGCAATTTTTATAATATAAAATATTATTACCCTACCAGTAAAACAGACCAAATAAACCAACGAATGATATGCCCATTTTTGCTTTTGTAAAACAACAAAGTTCGTGCAGCCTATAATTAAAAAAGAATTTCTTTTTTCTTTTAAAATTACAAAAATATCAACAGTAAACTTACAGTAAAAATGCCAAGAATGCAAAAGAAAAAGTAATATCACTGAAGATACAAAAAAACAACAACCAAAGAATCATTAAGACACAGTAAACACAGAACAATAGTTTTACCATACACAATAGTTAAAAAAATTACCTGCAGCCCTAAGTAAGTCAACAAAATTGATGGTATTGTGCCCAGCAACCCTTCAGGGTCATATGTAAAGCAGTTATACAAACTCTACAAAAAATAAAATCTATAATCAAACTAAAATGAAATAAAAACTATAAAAACATTATTTTTTCTTGTTAAAGATGTTTTATTTCCTGCTTTTTTGTCTAAAAATTTTACATACAGGCTGTTATACAGTATTTTTTTTTATTTCACTATAAGCTTAAATATATATATATATATATATATATATATATATATATATATATATATATATATATATATATATATATATATATATATATAAAGGGTGGCAAATTATTGCTGACCTCATTTTTCCTAATTCCATAATATATATTATGTGATAATGTGACACCTTGTCTAGTAGGGGTAAGTTTAGCAGATTTGAAAAAAACAAAAACTGAACTATCGAACACAAAGAAACAACTTTAATAATAAAAAGATACATTATTTATATATTTTTAAAGTTAGTAATTTTTAAATTGAACTTCAAATTTGAAGATAATTGTACAAAACAATATCTTTATATTTTACTATTAACAATTCTTTTATTGATAATTTATTTAAGCTCCATATCAGGCCTTATTTTAAATAAAAATGGCTTAAAATATTAGCTTGTGATTTTGACGTCATTATTTATCTTTATTATTTATTTTTTTTTCATTTTTGAACATTAACTTTTTTAAATTACCACAATAAAATAAATTACGGTGAAACTAAATTATAAAGAAATTTCTGTTTTCACTTTTTTGATATTGCACAATCTTTTAATTAAATCAAGCGGATGTAACAATTATAAAATATTATTTTTCTAAACTATTTTTTTTTTTGCAACATAAAACATGTAAATATAAACAAAGACGTTGCAAAAGCTATATTTCTCCACGTGTAAATACTTGTAATAACTAATTAAATAAAAAAATTCTATAGATATAACTCTATTATTAATTTTTCAATACAATATATCGAGGTAGTTTAGATACCTCATTATCAAATATATTTATACTTGATAACATTATCAAGTATATTTATTCTTGATGACAAGGACATCTAAAAATATTATTTTGAAAAATTAATAATAGAGTTATATCCATAGAAAAAGTGTTTTAATTATAAAAAATAAACTTTTTATAAGATGTCATTTAAAATTTGTAATAATGTTTTTTCATGATTTCGATGTCAATCATTATAACAAAACAAACAAAAATAAAACAATTAAAATACCAAAAGTGGCGCTAATATATAATAAAATTTAACGTTTTTCTTTAGCTAATATTTTTATACTTTTTATAATTTTTTTAATTTTGTAATTATTTTTGTTATTGTTTGTTATGAGACATGATCTAAATAAATATTCTTGTGCTTGCAAGATGATAAATAAAAGTTTTTTATTTATTTATTTTTACTTTTTACTTAATAGAAAAATTACATTAACAAAAAAAAAAAATTCTTTGTTTTTTCTTACATTTGTAAGTAGGGTACATTTGTTGTGGTTCTAAAAATAAATTTAATAAACTTTTTGCAAAGCTTTCTGGGATTGAAATGCAGACAAACGATACAAAATGCAAAGAATACAGAAGTATAAAAAAAAGTGCAATAAAACAATGTTATTAGGATTTTCATCAGATTCTTGCTACCTTGATCAGATTCTTGCAACCTTGATCAGATTCTTGCTACCTTGATCAGATTCTTGCAACTTTGAACAGATTCTTGCTACCTTGATCAGATTCTTGCAACTTTGAACAGATTCTTGCTACCTTGAACGTTTTCCAGCTGGTGTAATTTGAAAAAATTAGGAACAACTAAATATTCAACGACAAACTAAGAAAAAAGGATAAAAGAAAATAAAGCTTTACTAAAAGTTTACATCTTGTAGATTCTCTTGTCGTAAAAAATGAAAATAATATTAACATAGATGCAAGTAATATGTATAATCATTATATCAAAGAAATTTGTTAACTCTTCATTAGTTCTGATATAAATACAAAACGCAGTATTGTTGATTTTAATACTGGAATTTTATTGTTGATATTCTGTATCATTTAGTCTTTTATATATGAACATGAAAAATATGATTTTATTGCTTAAATGAATCTCAATTTTCTACTTTTATGACTTTGTTGGACAAGGTCATAAAAGCTGAAATATGAAAGTCAACTTTCATATTTCAGCTCAAGGAGTGTGAGGGTTGAAACAATAGTCTTCATAGTAAAAAAGCATTTATCAAATTTTATATCAGTGTAACAGTAGTCATGTGGCTATATTTCAGAAGTGTGGAACTATGGAATATATTAATTTTATTGTCTGTATTATTAGAATTTATAATTCAAGACTTGCTTTTACAGAAACAAGCATCTATTTATATTGCACTATTTCTAAGTGTGAAAAGTTTACAAAAGAAGAGGCCATGCAGTCAAAAAGAATTGTAAAAAGCATGAGTTTATTTTGTATATATTCAATGAGCATATATATTTAGATTCAAATAAAATAAAGGATTCAATCAAAAGTTATATATGCAACCCTTGGAATTAGGAAAAATGAGGCCAGCAATAATTTGCTGACCTCAATCTTTTTGAGGTCGGCATCAAGTAGGCAAAAATTATTTGATATAAAGGCCTGACCAAAAACATAGAAACGAGGTTAGCAATTTTTTGCCTCAAACAATTTCAGGTCGGCAGTTAGGTCAGCATTGCCGAATGCCAATTCTAATTCCGAGAGTTGTTTGTATATGTATATATATATATATATATATATATATATATAAAATACTGTTGATGGTAATATAAACTGATTATATACAACAATAAACTTACAAGAAGTATTTTAAAGTTAATCTAACCTTACAAGTTGGGTTTTTATATATATGATTTAAACCAAATACAGTTCTATCCACATAACCTGATGCTCCTCCAGTGCATTTCTCATAAGCACCGTGATCACCATCACCGCCTGGTCCAAAATAACCCCTATAGTAAATATTTCTATCGTAAACTTATGAAAAAAAAAATGCTTTTTGTAATAAAATATTTTGTAACAAACTATGTTACTAAATATAACAATAATAATAACAGTAAGCAAAAAAAAAATTAACATTGCATAATAAAAGTAAAATGATTTAAACATTTGAACAATAACAAAAACTATGAATAAATAACAGTTAAACAAATATCACCATAAAACATAAACAATCACCATTAAAAAAATTAAACCAAAAAGAAGAAAAGATTAAAAAACTTACTTTGGGCAACCAGGCACATTTAAAAGATATATAATTAGCAAATAAATAGTTAACAATAAAAGCATAACAATATGTTGAAAAGGAAACCAAACATCACGAAACATATTTTTCCAAGAATTAGTCTAAAATAAAAAGTTATTAAATCTAAATTTGTTTTTTTTTAAATTATGATAATTATGACTAAATAATGTTACTAAGATGATACAATTAAGTAAAGTATTTTATACCTCTGATTCTTCATTAGGGGAATCGAACCATAAAAAAACTAATGCAACAACAAAATAAGAAATAGCAAACCGCTGGAGAACACCTGGCAATCTCCAATTGGCTAAATCAAATCCTTAAAAGAAGTTTTAAACATGATAAAAGTACCAGTATTGACTAAAAAATGAAAAGCTTTCAAAAAGATTTTTGCATATACTCCAGCAAATAAAAATTTCTAATAAAAAATAATATCAATATGTTTTTTCGATATACTATTTATAAAAATATAAATATATAATATTTTCAAAATTTAAAAATATATATTAGTTTGACTTAAAAAATATATAATTAAACAAAATCAAATAATTAAACAATATTTTGATATACAACTTTCTGTTGTACAATGGAAGATAAAACTTAATTGAGCAAAAACACAGACATAAATGTTTACACAATGAACAAAAACACAGATATAAATGTTTACACAATGAACAAAAACACAGACAAATGTTTACACAATGAAAATAAAGAACAAAATAATATTTAGAGACAGATGGAGACAAATATGGAGATAACAGATATTCCCAATTGTGGAGATAACAGATATTCACAAATATTCATACATGCACACGATTACATGGAGACAAATACATAAAAATAAAAATATGTACATAAAACAAATTAAATTTGTTTTTAAAAGTAATGATTTTTAAAGTAAAATTAGTTACAAAAAATTACCATTATTCAGAAATAATCCAAGAAGTAAAAGCTTGAATGAACGATAAATAATTTTAACTGTCATTTTTCTTTTAGATAACTTCTTTCGTAAAGAGTGCATTGAAATATAGATAGATGAACCCATAATAAAAATAAACCAAGGAAATAACAAGTCTGCTACAGTGAGCCCTAAAGTTAAAAATTAATAAACAGAAAATAAAATAAGTTCTTGACACTATGAAACTTTAAAAAAAAGCACCATAATTTGTATGATACCATTCCATGATGAATGACTGAAAAAGTAATAGCCACCGCCACCATAATTAACAAATATCATAACAGCTATACTGATACTAAAATAATAACAATGAAAAAATTAGAAAAAAGTGTTATGTTTTTATCTAGATAATGCCTGCACAAATCCAATTTTTGTACTATAATAATGTACCAGACCTTCAGTGTATGGCTATTTTAGTATGACATCATCACTAAAGTTTTAACGGCAACTAAGCTTTTTTATATATAAATAAGGTATATATATATATATATATATATATATATATATATATATATATATATATATATATATATATATATATATATATATATATATATATATATATACATATATACATATATAAACTTTTTTAGGCTTTTATATAAAAAAAAAAAAAAAGCTATTTAAAAAAAAAACTTTTCAAGACTTTTTGTCTAAATATTAAAAAAGCCCGCGAAAATAGAGCTTATTAAAGAACAGAAAAGATTGAAACTTAGCACGCAGTGCTGAACAGTTTGCTCAGAAAAATGATTTGACCACAGAGCTTTAGTTTTCCTCAGAAACCAGTGACATTAACACCAGCATAGATTCAGATTGTTCTTTTAATTTTATCCAGCCAAAGATTATTGCCATGACTTCAGTTTTCAAAAATATTTCTCCAGAGATTTACTGCATGTGTGTACAGATTTTGTTGTTAATTCAGGTTGAAATGTTGTTGACTTTTCACTGTCTCAATCAAGTATTAGATGAGCACCAAAGAAAAACATCCAGCGAAATTATGCAGAGCACAAAAGGGGGTTAAAAAAGCGTCTGAGAAAGCACTTTTCTGCATAATAGTTCACTTTAATGGAAAAACTATGGAAGATATCACTGATGGGAAGAAAGTAAAAAGAGACAGGTTTGCTGTTTTAGCTAATATTAATGGAGAACTTAACCTTCTTGGAATTCCAGCTATGGAACATGGAACTGAAGCTACTTAGTATAAAGCTTTGGATAATGTACTGTAAGACTATGGAACAAATGATGATGCGAAGGGATTATGTTTTGACACAATTGCCTCAAATAATAAAAGGCAAGATCCAATATTAAGTTCAGTCAAAGAATCTGAGAGAATCTGAGGAATCTGAGAGCTCTGTAAAACTTGCAAAAATCCTCATCATCATTGTGATCATCCTCATTGTGAACAATGTTCACAATGAGGATGATCATCAAGAACTTCTACTAGCTGTGCATTAAAGAAAAGATCAGCTCCGTGGGTCAGAATCTAAGGAACAGTTGCAGCTAGCCTATGAAAAAAATACACAAGCAGAGAAAAAAAATAACATGATTTATATACTATTTTTAAGCGTGACATTATACATATCATGATTTATGTTTATATTACCAAGCGATGTATTTTTTTTATATAGAAAATTAAGTGATTTCAAATAATATGATTTATAATGAAATTTCCTTAATTTTGGGGGCGTCCCCCCTCCAATGAAGGAGAGGGAGGGGGGATAATTCAATGTTGGGTGAAGGGATGGGGGTAGCCATTGAAACGCCTGGTTCTATATAAAGGTTAATAATGCTTAGTTCTAATATTATTTTTCAGAATTTGGCCTAAATATGAAGAATAAACCAGCGTCAATTATACATAGTAATGAATATAAAAATACATAAATAAATACATAGAATACATAAATAATTTTACGTAAAAACCTGTTTTTTTCATCATGTGGAATAAAAACCACCATATTAATTTTTGGTCATACTCTACTATTAAAAAATAGTCTAAAATATACCATATAGAAGAAAAGTTGGTTTTCTGAGTTGATTTTAAAGGTCCCTGCCAGACCTCTGAAGTTTGAAATGTTTTTTATACACAAATTGGACTGGCGGGGACCTCTAAAATCATCTGATATCAAAATTTTTGGGCTTTAAATTATTTTTACATTGATGGACAACAATTTCAGGTAGGACCAATTCGATTTACAAAAATTGGTATAATTTGAATTACTTAGTATATACACTTCTCTTTCAGTGTTTTTACTTTTTATTTTTATTTTTTTGCAATATAATATAACTTGCGCTATCACACTCAAAAAAATTATGTCATAAGATAAAGTATAAGTCTTCCAATTATTTTTGGTGATTGCCTATATATAAAACCTTGCCAGTAAAAAGTTCTATTTTCTATGCATGCAAAGTGTATGTAATTTATTATATTTTTCAAAAATAGTGATATCTTAATAGGCTGCTACAAATGTTAAACTAACTTTTAACACACAATTTTAATTTTTTCCACAGGCAGTTACTCTGGGTACACAAAGGTAGAAAATAATTAGTACAGCCTGTCTGTAGGTATTGAACTGCAACCCATTTATGTTCCAAATATTTTCCTATTACTGCATTTTATAGCAACTTTAGGGTATAATAACTCATAAACTCCTAAAAGCCAGTCAAAAACACCTACAAAATTGGATTATTTGGGTTAAAAACTATTACCATTCAAAATTTAAAGTGATCGCCTTTTTTTATATACAAAGTTATGCTGTCAAAAATTAAAAAAATCTCTTGTAAAAATCTATTAAAAGATTTTTTTCTAGGTAAATTTTTTTTTTCCAGGTAAATTTTTCCAATTTTGGCCAATATTAAATCAATCATAACTTTTGAACGGTTTGATCATACAAGTTAAAATTTTCAGGATTGTCTTTTTTTCATAAATACTGTGGGTGGTCAAAATGTGAAGAAAATTTGAGGTGGTACCTGGGGACCATTAGATGATTTGATATGTAATGACCCAATAATTAAAAATATAAAATTTATATAGCTTATTTATTATTGTGTATTTATGTAATACTTATTAAAGTGATATTTTATTTTAAATGTGCAAGATGTTTTCTAATGTTTATGTAAGTAAAATATGATTTTGCTGTTTAAAACAAAAAAAAAATGTATTTTTGATATTTTATGAAACAGAGCTTACGCGTGGGCTCCAATGGGATATTTTTTGCTTTGTTTCTAAATAAAAGAATATGTTTTCACACAGTTTAGAACTGTTTTTTGTTTAAAGTAAAACAACAAAAAATAAATGTAAAAATAAAATTAACTTTATGCAGATGATATAAAGTTATATAGTACATATCGTGACATAGATCTAAGCTGAGATTTAGTAGTTGCTCTAAATAGACTTGTACTCTGGGCAGAAACATGACAATTATCAATTGCTAGTAATAAGTGTTTTGCACTTAGAATAGCACCCTCTCGTTATGCAAAGGTATGAAGGATAGCTATAAATTAGGTGTATACTTTGAGCTTCCAACCCAAATGATCTAGGAGTAACAAAAAACTGTAATCTTAACTATAAAAAACAAATTTCTAACATCATCCATCAAGCAAAGTCTAGAGCACATCTAATATTGAAATGCTTTAAAACTCGCAACCCTTGTGTCTTAGTTAGAGCTTTCACTACTTATATAAGACTAATTTTAGAATATTGTTCTCTAGTTTGGTCACCACACAAAATTGGATTAAATCAGTTTGAGCGTCCAACAAAAATTTACAAAGAAAATTAGGAACATTTGAATTTTGTTTTATCATAATCGACTACAGTTGCTTGGTTTAGAATCACTTTAAGTTTGGCGACTTAAAAGTGACTTGATAACATGTTTTAAAATTTTTCACAAATTGTTTTGTCCAGAAAAATCTGTTCTTTGTAATTGACAACAAACCATATATATTAGCATTTATATAGCACATATCAAGCATAACATACAGCATATATATATATATATATATATATATATATATATATATATATATATATATATATATATATATATATATATATATATATATATATATATATATAGCACATATAGCACATATACATGCACATATAGCATATATACCATATATATAAAATATGCAAACAAATTTGTTGCTTAGATTCAAAAAAATATAATTTTTCTTTCCAAGTTGCTGACATTGAATAATATCACCTCAGAATATTTTAACATTTAAAAATAAAGTTAGCTATATTGACTGTAAAAAATATTTATTCTAAACGAAACAACTTTTTGTTTCTTTATAATTTTATAATTTTTTTTTTTTGTTTTTTTTTGTTAATTCACCTCCTTAAGGCCTCATAACCCTGTCTCAACTCTATGACTCCGAAATACAAACCTTGACAAACAAGGATGCTGCGCGGAGAAACGAGTTGAGCGAGATACTACCAGGGACGTGGTGGGGATCAAACTCAGAGCCTCTCGCTTATGAAGTGAGCGCTCAACCACTACACCACTACTACATAATTGTTTTTGGGGTGACATATTTTTAAATCATTTATGGGCACGCTCTCAGTGTCTTTGTATGGGCATATATGTTCTTTGGAACATGAATTTGATTTTCTAATAAATACCAATCTAATCTAATCTTAATATTATATATAACATCATAATCAAAAAAAGATACTTAAAAAATAAATAAAGTAATAACCCTCGAAATGTGTCTATGGACTTTACTCTATTCCTTTTAATTGGTTTATTGATATAATCAACAGTGCTGTGAGGAGCAGAACTCTCTGAGCTCTCATTGCCATCCTAAAATTAGTTTAGGTTTCGTAAATTTTAAAGTTTCATTTATTTATATAATGTAAATTTACTAATAATAGTATAATACACACACATAAATATATATTTTATATATATATATATATATATATATATATATATATATATATATATATATATAATAAAAATAATAAGTAACAAGTTACGCACCAATGACATATAACCGGGACGTGGAGTACTTAAGTGTCTAAAATATATCAACCATTATCATTCATGTTTTATATAATCATTCATTGTTTAATCATTAATAGTTTTTATTTTCAAATTTGTGTGGAAAATTTAAGTATTAAATGTAAATAATATTTTCTTTACTTCATTATATTTTTGTATATTTATTTAAATAGACACCAAATTAGAAGGTAATTGTAAAAATTGTCAATTGAAATAAAACAAATATAACTTTAGTTACTTTTTTTGTCTATCAGTGACATACCTAGCAATTATTTAGATACACCAGTAGATTTGTTACAAGCAAAGTTTTTATTATTGCAGCAACGTTTTTTTGAAATGCAGAATTTAAATAAAAATTTCATTTCATAAAAATTCATCAAAAAAAAAATTAAGTATTTAACAACACCAATAAAATTTTCCAAACAAAAATATTTTTCCATTTATGAAAAATGTAAAAGCATTCATATGCAACACAAAAAAAAATTTAAAAATTTACTGCCTCAAACTCAGTTGTTCAGAATTACAAATTTCAAAAATTACAAATTTTTTTGTCAATCTTTTGCTTATAGTTTTTCAGCATTAATTTTTAAAGTTTTATTTGTTGATAATATTTTCCTTCTTAAAAAGCAAGAAAAAAATAAATTTTTTAGCATTTTTTTAAACTCCAAAAAATTAGTAAATCTTGTAACATCTTTTGATTAAAAAAAATTATATTTACTAATTTTATTTTTTATAACTTATTTATCAAATATTAAAGTTTTTTATTTGTACCTTTTATTTTTATTCTTTTCTCTATTTTATATTTAAAACAAAAAGAACTTATATAATAAAAAATTTTTTTTTTGAATTACAAAGTTTAGGAGGATTAATTTGGATTCCCAAACGATATACTGGTGCCAAAATCAACTTAGATACATCACTGTCTATATAAGAGTGTTGTAAATAATTTGCTAAAAAAAACAAGTAGTAAAAACTATTATTACTTGCTAAAAAAATATGAAGACACTATTGAATAAAAAAAATCAGTACCTTGTAACTTTGAGGTAAATAAATCTGTAAATGAGTAGTCCAACTTTAGGAACAATAATTAAAGATACCAAAACAGCAAACAACACTATCAAAGCTATATATATATATATATATATATATATATATATATATATATATATATATATATATATATATATATATATATATATATATATATATATATATATATATATATATATATATATATATATATATATATATATATATATAAATATATATATATATATATATATATATATATATATATATATATATATATATATATATATATATATATATATATATATATATATATATATATATATATACATATACATATACTAGGGTGCATTTTGAAAAAACCTGCTCTTACCCCTTTAATTTGTTCTGTATAATATTAAAACACTAGGTTTAAAATTTTTTGGAACAAAAAATATTTTATATTTTAAGGGTAACCAAAAAAAATCAAAAAAAAAAGTGTAATCAAAATCCTCAAAAAAATTCAAAATCCTTAAAAATTTGATGTGTCTCTAATATTTTGAAAAAAAATGTTTTTCTAAAGTATGTTAAACTGGTACTCAAAATAAGCAAAATTATATAAAAAATTCAAAAATGAAAATCATTTTTTATGAAAATAATTTTTCCAGATATAAATGCATAAAAATCATTGTTAAGCTGAAAAAAAAAGTCAATTTTTTCAAGTTTTTAAAAAAGTTTTTATGTAAATTGATTATTTTCGAAGTTTTTATATAATTTCGCTTCTTTTGAGTACCAGATTGACATATTATAAAAGAACTTTTTTTTTCAAAATATTAGGGACCCATCAAATTTTTAAGGGTCTTGAGCTATTCCTAAAAATATTTTTTGTTCAAAAAAATTTTAAACCTAGTGTTTTAGTATTATATAGAACAAATTAAAGGGGTAAGAGCAGGTTTTTTTAAAAATGTTGTTTTAAAAGCCACCCTAATATATACTTTTTAGATAAATGAATTACAACAAAAATTAATTTAAAAAATATGTAGAAAAAATTTTTTTACCATTTTATGTAAATATATATTTTTAATAAACAACTTACGTAGATTAGAAAAACTTGGCTTTTTAATAATTTTGATTTGATTGCAATAAAACTTTTCTTGCTGATCATCAATAACATCTAACTGGTAAATTCCTTGTTCCCCAAAATGATAAGAACCACTGAAAATCAAGTTGAAATTTATTTTGATTACTAAACCCAAGTAAGAAATCTAATTAAGAATGATTTGATGTTGATAGAAATGATCATAAATCATTTGTAAAATGAACAAATTTAAAAAAAAGAACAAATTACTAGTATACGCACACACCATCATGATATGTTAATTGTAAGATAAGAGTAATCAGAAAAGTTGCTCAACAAAAAGTGCAACTTGTTTAAAGAGAAAGAGAATTAAAAAAAAAAATTGACAAATAGTTTTACTTGAAATTTTACTACTAATTAATAAAAAAAAAAAAAAAATTTTTTTTTAAATTTGATTTTCAGAAAAGAATTTTTTTAAATAGTTAATTTTGAAAAAATCAGTCATAAACATACTTGCAAACAGCATATTCTTTAAGGGAATCTTTTTTTATTACAAAATAGTTCCATGGATATGTTGTATCAACTACTTGGGAGATACATCCATCATGCATCACACCATATGTTTTTTCAACACACTAAACACATTCCAAAACAAGAATCGTTAGAAGTGTATTTAAATGTAAAACAAATAGTATATATAACTAAAATGCATAAAAATTAAATATGTATCTAATCTATATATATTTTATAAAATTCAAACAGTATATATTAAAGATGGAAAAGAATCAATTAACATAAAGAGTGTCATATTCTAATATACTACTTTCCAAAAAAAACCGACCAATAGATAAATCAATGATCCAATAACACTTTTTACATTACGGATTTTTCAACTCAATTACATGTGTGTGTAAGTTTGCAGACCCCATTCATAAAAAACTGTGCTTGAAATTTCAAATAGCCAATTATTTATAAAAATTTTCAGAAATGTTTGAAGCTATTTTTTAAAAATATGGTTTGGTTTCTATTATTTAAATTATTTTTTTTAATAATTTAATTACTGTTTTGAAAATATATATTGAGAAGTTTCATTTCCACTAAAACCTTATTAAATTTAGCAATTTAAGAAATTTAAGAACTATATTAAATAACACCTACATACATGATAGCAGTTGCTAGACACACCGCGTAACAAAATATCAGTTCCATTTACAACAAACAGTGCTTTGTCTCTTGAAACTGATCTAAAAAAATTATGACAAGAATTTAAACATTTTCTTTTTTAGTTTTACAGACCACAATAAGTTGTCCCTGTAAGAAACTTTTATACAAAATTAAATTACATGCATCAAATGACAGCACAGTGAGCTAGAGAGAACGCCAGGTTTTATGTCGTGTCTATTGAATGAGACCTTTTTTTTTCAAGAGTATTTGTAATTTATTTATAGAAAAAAAAGGTTTTGAAATCCAAATGTGATAAGGGGCAAAAATGGGCCAAAAGAGGGTGTTAGGATAGTTCCAACCTGCCTATTTTTATGATTGATTATGATTGAAAACTATATTCTGATTAGAAATTGTATAAAAATATAGGTCTAAAAGCTACTGGTTAATGGTCTATTATACATTTGAAATTAAAAGTATATTAAACAAAATGCAAAAAACCAACATCATTCAGAAATATCCTTTTGCAACAAACAATTTAATGGAATTAAAGTAACCGTGTTTAATAGAACTGGTTTCTATTACCATCAATTTTTAATTAAGAATAACTGTTTGACTAACCTTCATATTAGAGGAACATAAAAGCTGATACTTATTGAATGATGGAAATAATGGCAGGCATACAATTTTTACTTATATACAAATCAAACTAACAATATCAAAATAAGCAACGTTTCAAATGTAATTCTTTTGCATAGCAGAATAAAACCCAGACTGCACGATTATATAAAAAAAAAATTTAAAAGTTGGCGAGTGTGTTTTAAGTGGATATTGTGTTTATTGTGTTTTTATTGTAGATATATTGTTTTTATACTTGTCATATAAATTATTATTGTTATATATATGCATGCATATATATATATGTATATGTATATGTATATGTATATGTATATGTATATATATATATATATATATATATATATATATATATATATATATATATATATATATATATATATATATATATAGCCTATATAAAAATTATAGAGTATATTCAGTTTATTTTTTCAATCGTTTAAATGGAAAATATACGAGATACTATGTGCTGCTGTTATTGGCAAATGTTTGGAGTGAGATCCAAGTCTTTAAATATTGTGAATTTAACAGTAGAAGAAATGATGAAGTTGTTTGTTTATCCTATATATTCTCTAGATGTGTGCAGCTATCCTAATGTTATATGTTCTGGATGTCAAAGAAATCTGTACTTATTGAGGGCTGGAAAACCTGCTAGAAGTTCCTGAGGAAAAAAGATTGCTAAAGTATGTAAATATTAAACAAAATATAATTTGACATGGAATCGATTTACATATATATATATGTGTATATACAATAATAATAATAATAATAATAATAATAATAATAATAATAATAATAATAATAATAATAATAATAATAATAGTAATAATAATAATAATAATAACAATAATAATGATAATAATAATAAAAGAACTTTTAAATTTGCTTTCAAGATTGAATGGTGGATGATGACAAGAACAGCTTCATTTTTAACAATTTATACCAAAGAAGTTTTAAGTACATCAAACTCAAATGTGTCATCTAAATTATGTAGTAAATGTTTTTCAACTATTTGCAAAAGGACATTTACACAACTGCTCTTCTTTATCTGCAGTAGAGAACCTGCATCCTGAACCTGATCCTGAACCTGATCCTATTAGCACCAAGTCTATGTTTGCAAGCAGAGCAAGTTGCGTCTGGTATAATTAAAACAAAAATGAAAAATAATGAAATTGGCAATGAGGAACAATCTGTTTTGTCTTCTGGTGAAAACCCATTGACGATTACAGTTGGATGTCATGAAAACAAAGCAAAAAGAAGGTACTACTGAAAGAAGAATAAAGAAGGCATATTGTTAAGTACATATGTATAAAATAAGAAGATATTTATTTTTTGTTTATTTATACCTAGGTCAGTAAAACAAGTATCTCTTCAGTTGATTAAGGAACTTCAAATAGTATTAAACCTTTCCCTGATTGAAACAGGGCTGCTGATATCTACTCTTTGGAAAGAAATTGGAAGTAAGGCAGCTGTAAAAAATAACATTTTTGGAATGAGTGAGCTAGAAGAGTCCATATCACATTTTTATCAAGTGGAAAAGGTAGCAACTATATATCTTTTAGTATTCAAAATTATATAAAGCATTGAAAGTTTTTCTAAAATTTATTGTTATTTTCCAGGTCAACTTTCTTGACAGAACTAATGGCACAACTATAAAAGACCTTGTTTTTGTTCAAGAAACATCTTGTTTCATTCTGGGTTTAATAAATTAGCGCCATCTTGACCCCCAGTTGGCTTTTGTTCGTATTTTTAAGGATGGAGGAGGTGGTTTCATGAAGTTTATTAATGTTTTTGTTTATTAATGAGGATACAACTTTATATTTATACTAAAATAGTGGTGTACAGTGCTGTCAAATCCTTTTCATAGTTGAAGATGTGCAAGAATCAAACTTTAATCTGAGGATAATTTTAGAGAAACTCAATTTACAAGATGTTAAGTTTTCAGCTGGTTTTGATTTGAAATGTGCTAATGCAGTTTTTGGAATTTCAAGTCATGCAGGAAAAAAAGATTATCTTTGGTGTGAAGGAGAATCAAGTGAAGTGTGTGGTAAATTGAGGACACTTGGAAGCCTTAATTATTGATATCAAAGATACACTGTCAAAAATAGTTCAAAAAAATCCAATATGAAACATTTTATGAAATTTCCAAGAATTCTTTATCTTGATGAAGCTCCAGATACTTTAATCCAACATTTAGTACCTCTCCCTGAATTCCATATTTTGATAGATATTGTAACTACACTAGGATGTTTATTGATGGATCTCTGGCATGGATTTAATAAATTTTTGAAAAATAATGGCGTTCTACAGAGAGGGTATCCAAGTAGAGGCTGGGATGGGAATAATTCAAACCAGATACTCAAGTGTTTTGATGAGTTAGAAAGTGTTGTTTTATCCAAGTTTCCTGATCTTGTTCCAATTGTTCAATGTTTGAAAGACTTTAAGGTTGTAAAAGATTCTTGTTTTGGTAGAACACTTGAGCTTGGATACCAATAAGCCATACAAAAATTTAAGAATTCCTTTTTATGAGCTCAAGAAATTAAAAATATTCTTGGGAAAAAACTTTCAATAAGTTGGAAAGTACATATACTTTTGTGTTACGTAAAACTTTTTGTTGAATACCAAAATTGTGGATTATCTAGGTTTGCTGAACAATGCAGAGAATCAACCCGGTGGGAAATGAGCTAGCGACTAGTGAGCGACTAGCTAGCTTCATAGCGATTTTCAAGTGATTTTTTTTTTTCTTATTTTCTTTTTTGCAAATGTCTTTAACATCTTTAAAAATTCGATTTTTAGTGTTGAGTCTATTATAATCATGAAAATAATTGAACTTTAAACATTGCGATTTTGTAGCAATGTGTCGCTAGCTACATATCGTAGCTTTGTAGCTAGCTACAAAATATTTACAAATCTTTAGCTGGTTGATAGCTACATATTATAATTTTTTAGACAACGATTTTATTACGATATGACGCTAGGTACAATAGCCAATGGATCTTCAGCTTATTAAGCTAGCTGTCCTCTAAGCAAAATCGCTGTCTTTATCTTTAAAAATATCGATAGCTTTTCGCTAACTTAAAAAAGCTAGCGATCCTTGTGGCCAAATCGCTGTCTTTATCGTATCGATTATAGCTAGCTATTCGCTAGCCGATTTCCCACCGGGAATTCATTCTTAATTCAAACCAATATGGAATAGGTTCAAAAGACAAGTTGATAATAAAGAATATGGTGGAAGACTTCTCTCTTCCGTGATTGACTTTAAGTTAGTTATGTTTAAAAGGTTTATGTTCCATATGTTGGTTATATTTGGATTTTAAATAATTTTTTTGTTTATTATTATTTTAAATTTTGTTCAATTTATTTAGATTGAAAAAAAAAATTGAAAAATAAAAGATACAAGAGTTTTATTTTTTTTATTGGATCCTGGGGTTGCAGTACATGGCTAATGAAAAATAATAACTATATAATAATTTTGCAGATCTAAATTTCTAAACTAAATATAAAGAGCAAAAAAACAAATAAAATGTAAGAAAAATTTCTTTAACGGGTTTAGGACCTCTTAATCTTCCCTTTTGCCCCATTTAGGACCCAAATAAAAATAAAAAAGATTTGGTTTAATTGACACGACAAAACCTGGCAGTCTTTTTGGTCCCCTGTGACAAATACTCACAGGAAAACATATAAGATGAGTCTGAGTTTAGACAAGAAAATGATTGCATTTTAAGCAAAATTATTTACATATGTATATACATATACATATAAGGGGCATGTACAGGAAAATTTTTTGGGTAAGTCTAAAAAAAGATTATCCCTTCTCCCTATTTTTTTCTTTTTTTTTTAGTCTTGGCTGGATTAAGTGTATTTTATTAAAATATTTCAATAATTGTATGAATGACTTATAGCATCGCTAAAATGGTCACTAAAGCTGAATTAATGATTTTTGCAAATAAAAAAAAAAAAAAATTTTAAAAAAAACTCAGCTAATGTAATGTATAATATATACAGATTATATTTTTTTTAATGCAAGATTTCTGTAGACAAAATTCAAGACCATGATTGACCATAAAAAATAAAAATCAAATAGTAGACACAAGACTTAATAAATTCTATTTATAACAAAGATCAAACATATAAGGTACAAAGGACGGCATCTTTTATTATTAACTAACTGTAAACAAAATCTGTTTATTTATTCTCAAGTTCATAATGATTGCTAAACCATATCCTAACACTATCTTGAAAAAATAATAACTTTAATAACATTTTAATAAAGAATGAACTCGAATTTTTTTACAAAGATATCTGGCTATGAAAATAGCTGCTCAACAAATGGTACAAATCGAGAGGTTCCTAGTTCGATTCTCACTAAACCATTTAAACTTTATTAGTTATCTATAATATTATATTTTATAAAATATTATATAATTTATACTTTATCTACCATTTTGCTTGCAACTTCTTCTAACCATTTTCTTATAAACTTTTAGTCACCTTAGTAAAGAAAAGGTCTGCTGCTTGTATTTTTTCAGTATTATTAGATTGGAGTTCATTTTTGAAATTCAGCCAGTAAAGTGAAATTCAACCAAATTTCCCACAGATCAAATTCACATAATAAAGCCTTTGGTTTTGCAATAATAAATAAACCTAATAAAGTCTTTGGTTAAACAAAAGGCACTAAAAGATATGATGTGGTCTTTCCAACTAGTATAATAAGAACACTGAATTTCTGCATATGCTTTTTGAAAAAACTAAAGATTATAACAAAAAAAACTAAAAGACAGTTACTATATAACACTTTAAAGTTGTATTAACGAACATTGTGTTAAACTCAGTACTCAGATGGGATGGTCTAGCAAAGAAACAGTGATAACTAATTTTAAATAAATTGAAATGCACTTTTTAGACTTGCTCAAAGCATATTTGAAAGTGTTGATTAACAAAATTTGTAAGTAAAGAGATAACATCTTTTAATGGTTGAATAAAATTCAAATTATAAAAAATTTCATTATTACTTGCTTGCACATTCGTGTAATTAAGAGTTATATCAAAAACATGTCTTTTTATACACAGTGCAGCAACAAAACCAAAATTTGCTACTGCTTCTTCAACTTCAGTTGAAGAAGCAGTAGCAGAAGTTAAATGCTATGTCGATATTTAAAGACATTCTTTAAGAATAAAACCCACAGGAAAAAAAAATTTTTGTAAAGTATTCATGCCATGATTTCAAAATCCATAATATCCAAAGAAAAACCAGTAACAGCTTTTATTAAAACATTAAATAAACAAACTTTTTCTTTATGTCTAATCTGAAACTTTTAGTACTAAAAAAACATAATTATTGTGTAGAAAAGGACACTAAAAACATTTAAAATTCTTTCATAACTTTAGAAGAAGTAACCCTTGAAAACAAAGGTGATAAGGGATAAACAATTTGGCTAAATAATAATATATACTTAATAAGTTCAAAATCTGGATATAGACATTTTATTTTTTTTGCCACAAATGCTTGATTATCAAATTAAAACAAAGAACAAATACTAGATTTATCGATTCAATTATAAACAGCTTCTTCTTGTAATAATTCTGTCTTCCTTTCTTGTGATACCGAAAACTCTGCACCATTAGTATAATATTTAGTTGCCTAACTCTAAAGGATATGATGTTTTTTTCAAATGTTTCTCTCCATTGGGCTAACTTTTTCTTTGAAGTGCTACATAAACTTGTGAATTAGCGACATTTTGAACTAATCAACCACTATATTTTATGCCTAATAAAACAAAAATTTAAATGTTGAAAGGGTAGTTCAAATTTAATTTTTCATATGTGAAACTATTTCTTTCCTTACTTATAATTCAAAATACAAGTAATAAAAAAGATACGCAGTCTAGTTTAATGAAACTAAGGGTGTTCATTGATATATTTTAATGTATACTTGTTGTTACTATTTTTGCCTTCTGATGATAAATAAACAATAAGACTTTTACTCGCTTTTAGATTAGGGTGTATGTCAAAAGATTAGGGTGTATGTCAAAAGATTAGGGTGTATGTCAAAAGGAAAGTCCAAAACTTGTTCTTACTGAAATAATCATTTTGATTTTTTTTAAACTAAAAAAAGAAAATATTTAAAAATTAAAATTCTATATAAAGAAATAAAATAAGGTGTGTCAATTCAAGTTTCTAATTAAATTGTACAACTGAAAAGTTATTTTAACCTCCATCAAAATATTAAAATGGTTTTTTTAAATAATTGCAAATTATGAAACCGTGTTAGTATTATGTTTTACAGTTTTTAATTTCTTTCCAACCATTTCAGATAATTAGCTGTGCATAATTTGTTTAGTTATTGCTGCAGTTTTAATAATTATAATATATATTATTATAGTTACATAGAAAAACTTTTGTGTTTTCAAAAATATATTCAAAATGAAAAACTTTTATTTGATTTTTTTTGGGTAAGTCCAATGACATAGTAGACATCCTCTAGACACACCCCTACATGCATATATATATATATATATATATATATATATATATATATATATATATCAGGCCTTGTTTTAAAGCGTTACACGTAGAGCAATTTATGTATGCCTTTAGCAATTTTTAAAAAAAGTCACATTAACTTTTGATTGCCGTTTATGTAAAAATATTTGTTACAAAAGTTTGAATGACAATTATGTTTGATATAAGGGCTGTTTACTAATGAAAAAAACTTTAATAAAATTAAAAGTTTATTTTTATTTTGATTTTATTTATATGGAATGGTTGATTTTTTAAGCTTGAAGCAAAGATCATAAAAACATAATTTAATTCTGATAAAAAAAAAAGATTTAATTCAAAACTAATTTATTTAAAATATATAATTTTATTCTGATAAAAAAATATATAATTTAATTCAGATTTTAAAAATATATAAATTAATTTTGATTAAAAATATATATTTAAGTTTATTAAAATTAAAGTTAATGTTTGGGTTTAACTAAACTGTCAAATTTATTTAAAAATATTACTAAATATTATTTAATATTAAAATTTTATTTGTTCTTAAAAAAAAATTAGCTCATTTTATCGCAATTGTTTTTTTGGTTTTCCTTCCTAAACATTTTTTTTTACTCAAAATTAAGTTTTAAATAAACAGATGCATCAAAAACATGCACAAAACATAAGTTAAACTTTTTCTTTTATTACGCAAGTTAAAACGCAGCGATTATTTTTTAATAAACAATATACAGCGATATAATTTTAATAATAAAATAATAAACTAATAAACTTTTAATAAATAAAGTAAATAAATTGACCTAATTTTTTCTTAAATAAAAAATCATTTGCAGTTGCAAAGCCACAATTAATGTTATATCAAACATTTTTTTAAATGCAATATTAAATTAATATTACTAATTAATATTAAAAAAAATGAAAATAAAATTTAAATTAAAAAGAAAACATTCCTTTATAGTAATAATAAAAAAGCTGTTAAATAATATTTAACTCATTTTGTGGAAATTAATATTATTGCAGTAATTTAAAAAAGTTAATATCTTTAAAAAATAAAAAAACAAAGAGAATTTTATGTCATAAAATTTATTTAAAACAAGGGAATATACATATATATATATATATATATATATATATATATATATATATATATATATATATATATATATATATATATATATATATATATATATATATATATATATATATATGTATGTATTTATATTAACAAAAAAGAAAAAACATACTTGCAGTATATTTATTCTATATACTTGCAGTATAGGCCTGGTCACCGTTTTTAGCTCAAGACATTGCCAACTCGAGTAAGTTCAACACTGAGAACTTACTCGAGTAAATCTTATATATATATATATATATACATATATATATATATATATATATATATATATATATATATATATATATATATATATATATATATATATATATATATATATATATATATTTATATTAACGAAGAAGAAAAAACTTTTTTTATGGTACTTTAGGTTTCATGCCTATACAGCAATCATCAGCCATTGAATACAAAATCAAAAACAAAAAAAATACTAAAAATTACAAAATACTGTGAAGTGGGATTTTTATGTTACTAAAAGACATACTTGACGGCATCCAAAAAAAACAAAATATTAACTAATCACCGGTGTCAAAAAAAAATAAGAGGAATTTATTCTTGTGCATTTTGAAATCAACTCATTTTGTTTATTTAACAAGTGTTCACCTTTATATGTTAAAATAAGGAATTTTTCATTTGCAAGCCAAGATTGCAAATTTTTAACGAGGAGTTATAAAGATTGCAAGATTTCAAAATTTTCCACTTAGTTAAGGATGTGAACATTTTGTCTTTTATGTCCCAAATTTCTTTAGATAACTCAGTATCATTTTTATATTTATTAATGCTAAAAGAATTCAGGTGATTAGCATATATTAGAAATTTGGGACATAAAAGACAAAACATAATTTATAAAAAATTTATAAACTATTATTAATATATTTATTTAGCAGCCATAGCGCAGTGGTTAGTGCGCTTGCCTCAGAAGCTAGAGAACTGTGGTTAAACGCTACCTCTGGGTAAGTTTTATAACATTGGTAAGGAAGGAGGTGTGAACTTCTTTTGCTCTGTGATAAGACCGTAAGGACTTTTTAGGGCACCTAAAATAAATAAATAATAATATACTTTTTTTTTTTTTTTTCTTATTTTTTTTTGCGTATGTAAACAGTTGTATTGTTATCATGTAAAAATCTAGAAAAATTCAATTATAATTCTATTCGAAATATTTGCTTTTTTAAAAAACATTTTTATATATTTGGCAAACCAAAATGTTATGTTATAAAGTGAGAAATTTGTAAAAATTTTAAATACTGCTTGTAAAAAATTTACTTCAAATATTGTTTTGAAGAACAGAGGTTATTGCTAAATGAAATTTTTTAAAGGTCTAAAAATAAAAAGTAGTAGTAGATTGATTAAAGTAGAGAACAAAAAAGAGAATTTAAAAAAAGTAAATACTATTCAATTGCAATTTTGCATAAAATTGAATAAAAAAAAAAGTTCTTCAAAGTTCTTTTAATTTATAAAAATTTAATGAAAACAATTTAAATAAAAATAACAATCAATAATAAAAATAATAATTTAAATATTAATAACAATCAATAAAAAAGAACCTAGAAATTTTTTAATAGGATAAATTTAATTTATTATCTTTTTATAATCAATAGACAGAAAGAAAGAAAAAAATAAAAAGAAAAGAAAAAATATATATTTATGTTTAAAAACAAATTATTACTGACATTTGAGTATAACTTAATAAAATTATAACTTACGAATTTTTAAAAATATCCGCCACATTGAAAGAAGAAACTTTTCCAACACAACCTATACAATATACAAAAGACTTTATTTAACATAGTAACAAATATATAAGGGTTTGGACAACCCATACATATAAAAACATTTATCAAAGAAATAAAAAAATTTGCTTTTGTCATCATTATCACTGTATTCTTTTTTTATTTTTATCCTATTATTTTTGGTGTTGTTACGACTTTGAAATAACTCGACTGTTGACTAAATCGATTAATGTGTTTTTTAAAGTCGACTAAAATCAACTAATATCTTGTGGAAACCGACTAAAAGTCCATTTAGTCAAAATACTTGAACTTTTTTTTAAATTATAATATTTAAATGTTGCTCGGCAATTTATTTCTTAGATGAAATAAATAGAACTTTAAAAGACTAAACAAAAAATTAGGTGGTATTATTCTATTAGATTAATTTAAATCAAGAATAAACAAACAAAACAGAAATTACAATAGAAAAAAATAAGAAGACCGTTTTATATGCCTTGGTTTAACAAGACACAATGTTCAGCCAAACCTGGTTTAAGTCTATTTCGCTGTCCTGTAATGATTTTGGCAGCACTTGAAAATAACTCTTCAGAAGGCGTTGATGAAGCAGTTATACAAAAGAGCATCTTCGCTATCTTTGACAAAATAGGAAATCGGCATAAATTATTTTTATAAAATGCGAGGGAACATGAATTTTCGCATACTTTTATATTCATTTTTAAATAATTGATGATTTCGTTGTCTACTGATAACAAATCTTCTGATGACATTGTTTCATCGCATAACAATTTTTTTCTTTTTTTTGATTAACTTCTTTGACTAGATGACAACTCTTGGCTAGACAACTGAAGGCCTGTTGGTGTTAGCTGCAATTTATGGCTCAATTGAATAACTAAAGAATGAGCTTTTTTAATAAAAGAAATTACCGCTGTTTTGTTCGATATAAATTTAAAACTACAAAATTGAGGATCTAAATATGAAGCTGCGAATAACTTTTTAATTGTAAGAAAATCCTCACATCTTCAATTAAAATTATCTTTGAATTTGATGGCAAGATTCATAATTGTAAGATTATTTGATTCCCTTTTGAAGTTAACAAAGTAATCAGTTAATTTTTAACATCTGGTAATATATTTGAACAAGTGGTATAATTTGATCCGCTCAAACTTTTTGTAAAACCATGTGTTAGCTCTAATAAATCAACTAGCTCACTAATGATATCTAGTTCCCAGCTTTTTAATAACAAATCCTTATTATCTTTGTTCTCTGGCTTGATAATAACATCTTTGATTGATTCGCTAAGTTTAAAAACTGACTGGAACATTAAAAAGGTCAAATTCCACCGAGTAGCAATGTCTTGTTTTGATTTGTTAATTGAACATTTATCTTCTTGATTGTAAATTTTCATATTATTTAACTGAACACAAGCTGAGCAGAAAGCTTATTACTATGCATTAGTGGTGGAGTGGTAGAGCGCTCGCTTCATAAGCGAGAGGTTCCGAGTTCAATCCCCACCACGTCCCTGGTAGTACTACGCTCAACTCGTTTCTTCGCGCAGCGGCTTTGTTCATCAAGATTCGTGTTTCGGAGTTATAGAGTTGAGAGAGGGCCATATAACCACAAATAAGCAGCCTCCTTGTCTGTAGTGGCCTTCTCAGCCTTGAGGAGGTGAATTAACAAAAAAAAAAAATGTTTGAATAAGCCAACAAGTTTCCTACATCTTTAAAATTAAGAAAACGCAATGATTTTCATCAGTTGATAGCTAATTATCTTTTACAAGAACATTTTTAACAAATAAATTTAATATATGACAAAAACAAGGAATGTACAATTTATTAATTAAATCTTCTACACAATATTTGATATTAGCAGCAGTGTCACCACTCATTGGAAGTGTTTTATCACTTATTTTCCATTCATTTAGAATTAACTCAATTTGCCCCTTTAAATATAGGCTAGTATAGACTTTGGGCTATGCTTTAATGCAATCCAAATCGATTTCAAACAAAAATTTTGATCAGCAAAATGCACTGTGATGCCAGTGTATGAATGCGAGGCTTGTGATGTCAATCCATTTGTGGTAAAATTCAGCTTGGTTTAAAAGATGCTTTTACTTTAAATGATTCAAATTTAAGCAGCACTATTTTATACGAAAACTTTTGTCTTGTCTGCAATCTGTACTTGTTATCAAATGAAGCATTTTAATAAAATACTTATGATCAACAATCGACAGCAGTTGACCTGTTTGAAGAACAAAGTTACACTTGAATTCCTCTAAATCTCTATATTTCTGCAAACTTGAACAATATGAGTGAGAGTTTGCAAATGCTGTTTTGATAGATACATGACCAGTTGTTGTACTTGGAAGTTAGACCAATCGTTTAAAATGTCCATTGGGAATTACTATTATATGTATCAATCAATAAATCATTAATCAAAACAATTAAAGCAAAAAATTTGTGAGGCGTAATTTTTGTGGCATATCAAGGTAGAGGCTGGTAGAGCCAAACTTTTTTGTAGATTTCAGATTTATGAAACTTTGTATCTTTTTGGCATCGTTAACTGGTGACACATTATTGAATATTCTTTTAAAGAATTAACTTTTTATAACGAGTCAGTATAACAAGAAAAAATAAACATTAATGCAGTGGCATAGCATACAATAAGCTTAAAGCTGAGTTTATGTGAAACAGCAAATTAGGTTCAATGTTCAGATATTTTGGTTGAATTAAAAACCCAGCTATAAGGATATATCTTTACTAATTGGTCAACATCATAATAAAATTAAACAATGACAAAGTTAAATCAAACAAAGAGATAAAGATAAGAATTTTAGGACCCGACTAATTCAACTATTTTAGTCAATTAGTAGAAAAGTTGATTTAATAGACTATTAGATTTTTCATAGTCGACTAATTTCAACTTTCGACTAGTCAACTTTAAATCGATTTAGTCAAAGTCGAAAACAACACTAATTATTTTTATTATTTTATTTTTATTCTGGCTGATCAATTCTGATGGTGATCTAGGTTGAGTCCTAACATATTTTGAGTTAACTTTTAAAATACCAGCTTTAATCCCAACAGATTCTTAGACACACAAAAAAAAAGAACAATGAAAAAAGTAAAACAAAAATATAATAAAGTAAATATAATAAAAATATAATAAAGTAAAAGTCATTTCTTTAAATACATTAATTTACTAATGCTAAAAAAAACTTTTTTTTTGAATTTTAATAAACGCTCAGGTTGTAAATACTATTTGCAACCTGAGCTATTTGTTAACATTTCTTGAAATTGTTTCAAGAGTTTAAAACATTTAGTAACTATATTTTAGTAATTTTAATTTTAGTAGCCATTAAATGTTTGAAGTACTTTAAACAAATTTTAATTAATTTTAATAAATCACATAAAATTTGCAAATTTAATGTAATAGTAATTATACTTGCATCTTGTACCCAAATAGTTATTGTCTAATGGAATATAATATATTATATTTCAATTAGACAATAAATATTTCATGAAACATTAATTAAAATAAATAAATCTTTTACAAAATAGCTATTATCTTTATATAATATAATATATTATATAGACAATAACTACTCGAATACAAAATATATGCATTTAATAAACCCATTTACTACTTTTTTAAACTTCCATTAAAATATTGGCAAACTACTTTTACTATAGGTTTATAATTTTCAATTGAAAAGATATTTTTTTTATTCATGTATAATTTAATAAGTTAAGTTTTATAAACAAGTAAATACCCGTAGTAAATATTTACTACTAATCTTTAGTAAATAATATTTACTAAGGATTCAAAAATTAATGTTTACTTTGTCAATTTGAATTTTTCATCTTAAAATAAAAGATGGCTTACTTTTAGATTTCTGTCTGATATCTTTTTGGAGATTCAATTTTTTAAGTAAAAATGTAAACTTAAAAAAGAAAACTTCAAGTCAAAAAACTAAAACACTCATAAATCAGGAACCTCAAGAAATTGAAATTTTAGAATTTGTCATTTTCATAAAGTACTAACTATGGTTAAAATAATATAAAAAATCCAAGCATTTAAAAACAAAATTGGTTGTTTTGACATGGCCATGTCAAAACCATGTTTCATGTTCCATGTTCCATGAACCTTGTTTCATATGGAAACATGTTCCATGTTCCATATGGAACTACACTGAGTTTGTCAAGTTTTGCAATAAATCTATTATCCTATATTTATTTTTTCATTTCCTTAAAATTGTCATTAAACTTTTTCAATAAAAATTTTGAGAGAAAAAACAGTGCTATTGAGTTTTAAAATTAAGTATGGTTTTTACATCAAGGACATTTAAAAGGGGTTTTTGCAAAATAATATTGTGAAATTTTGTGGAGGAGAACGATAGGCAGAAATTAAATATAAACTTACCAAAAATACTTAAAGTAGTGAACAGTAAAATTAATGACATTTTAAAATAAAGGTTTAATTCCAAAGCCACTCTAACATTTAGAGTTTTTTCACATCATGATTTTTAAGAAACAATAAATAAATTTAAAATAAAATTATTTCAAAATACTTAAAGCGCTTAATGACATTATTTATCTGTTCTCATACGGTCGCAAATGGAGATAATTCTTTATGTTGCATAGGGCGGTTTGCTAAAATAGGTCTGAAATTTTGTACAATTATTTTAACTTAATGAACAGAATGATTTGTAAGAAAAAAGTTTGCTAATTTTTCAGGGGCTAGAAATTAAAGTTTAACAAAATAAATAAACAAAAAAATTTTTTTTTTGCGTTGCTTAATCTCCCTTAAAAACTTAAGTAAACGGAATAATAACAACGGTTGTTTTTCTAATAAAAAAATAACTTTTTAAATTAAAAAAACAACCGGTTTTCTTTATTCCCAGATAAAAATTTAAAACATCACTGCATTTGTTATAAAAAGCAATTGTCATTACTCACATTTATATAGTAATAAGGGACGAATTTAAAGTGTGACCTTTGTGGTAATGACCACATAAAGCCTACGACACTAGGGAGGCCGTCCCCACCCAAAGAAAAACTCTAGATATAGAGGCCCTGCCACATATTTCAATTTTATATTGACTCGTTACAAATTGTTAATAATAGATGTTAATTATATGTTGTTTTTATTATTAGTTTATTATTAGTTGTTAACTTTTATTTTTAGTTGTTAATTATATGTTGTTTATTATCTTATTGTTATTTATATTTATAATTATATGCTGTTTCTATATGTTTTTGTATTATTAATTATATGTTGTTTGTTATTCCCAGATAAAAATTTAAAACATCACTGCACTTGTCTTAAAAAACAATTGTCATTACTCACATTCTATAGTAATAAGGGACGGATCTAAAGTGTGACCTTTGTGGTAATGACCACACATAGTTCAATTTTAGATTGATTCGTTACGAATTCCTAATAATAGATGTTAAAAATATTTTAGGACATTTTGTATTACTTTTTTTAATTATCATTATTTAAATTTCACGTCATATTTTGCGAAAAACATTTTTGCGTACTAATTAAGCGCTGAGTTGGCTGCATTTAAACTCGTATTGCATAACAGTCTAGATTTTTACATTTCGCTTTTTGAATATCAGTTCGGCTGATGCCACCACAATAGGCTAATATTAACTCCCGAAAAACAATATTGAAATTTTTTACTTTAACATTATTGCACTTTTTAGGAGTTAAGTCGATTTTTTCCAAAATTAAATTTTTTTTTTTGGAATACTAACTTATGTGACGAATCCAGAAATTATCTACCTATAATTTCTGGATCCAGTGACGGATCCAGAAACTATAGGTGGTTGGGGGATGCATAGCCTCTCCTCCCCCTCCTTCCTATGATCAGTAACTGCATGTGACTAGGTAGTTCAGTTGGTTAGAGCGTCAAAAGAATTGTTAAAACCCGGGCTGTTGTGCGATACGAGTTCAAATCCAGTTACCGTAAACTCAGCGCTTGAGTAGTACTTCATGCGAAAAAATATGCCAATGATATCTTTGCATACAAGAGAGTTGTTTAGTCCTCTTTTCCTCCCACCACCCTCCACCCTCACCATTCGAAAAAATCTTAAATTGCGCTACAAAAACTAAATGAACCTTCCTTTACAAGGTATTTTAAAGGTAAAAAAAAAAAGCTCTTTAAATGTTTAAATGGGTTTTCTAAATAGCTAGGCCCTGCTGGTAGAGCTTAGCCATGGCACTGAGTAACACTGAGTAAGTTTGAACTGTGAATACAGTCTATAGGTTCTTGCACATTTGTGATCATTTATTTGGAATTCGGTTACGACGGGTTGCCAAACATTAACATTTTTGAAAGATGTCAAGGTAAAAATTAAAAACTAGATTTCAAAACACTCTCTATACCAATTATGGCATTGACTGCCCATTAGGAGTTGCACAATCATTTTAAATTAAACGAAAAAAAAAATTTCTAGATCCTAAATCACTTTGTAACACTGAATAATGATCTTTTAAAAAAACCAACAGTTGTTTTGACATGCATTAAGGGGGAAAACCCCTCAAAAACTTATTTTCTGAAGTAAAGCATTAATAAAGTTATTACATGTTTCAAATAAAAGTATACTAAATGTTAAGAAGATCTATCATAAAAAATGGCACTCTGTTGCCATGGCAACGCGGTTACTAAGGGAAAATGTCAAATTAGTCTCTTCACCCTGGCAAAGATTGCAGTCAATTAGAATGATACTTTGAGCTGATTTTTTTCTAACTTATAGTTAAAAGATAGATCTATGCAATAAGCAGACAGTTTTTGAAAATAACTTTTCTGTCAGGTAGTAGGCCTGTTTAATTTTGGCAAAAATTTCAAGCACAAAAATGATAGATGTTTTTTTTAATTTCTTAAGTTTAAAAAACATTTTAAAAAAGTTGTCTGCTCATTGCATACATCTTTATGAGAGGAATACTCCCTGAAAATTTCATTAAAATCGGTCAAGCGGTTCTCAAGATACTTCTGCCGGGAGATTAAAAACACGCGTTCTGAGAAAAATGCCAAATAAGTTGAAATTGTGATGAAAAATATTATATAATAACAAAGATACAAAAAATATAATATAAAAAGAGCATACTGATTGTATTTTTTAATCATGAACACCAGCTCCATACAATTTTCCTTCTTTCTGTTCAACTTTGTCAAATTTTTTAAGCTTGCGGCTTCTTAAAATCTTCCTTTTTTTTTTTGATGGTGTCTTGATTTTTATACTCTGACATCATAACTCTTTTCTGGTTCAGGTAATTGCATCCAGAAATGGTATGTTGCCCTGGTATCATATTAAGTCTTTCAAATATAAGTATACTAGACTTTAATCCTATATTAAAGGCACCAATAGCATCATAGAGTCCAAATTTCAATTGCGTAAGCGAAACATATTTTGACTTAGGTATTCTAGACCATATCATTGCATTAAAACTTTCATTTTGATTCTGTGTTCTTCCATGAAGCAAACGATTTAAATAAGCATCTGATGTTAGTTCTACATAAATGGGCTTTAACTTGTGTACTATTTCAATAGGAAGACCTGGTCCGGGTTTATACTCTTTGGTTCCATTAGCTTTATCTCGATTGTATTTACACCAACTATCTGTTCCTGTGGGACAATGCGGGTAATGCCAATTATTTTTTCTTGAAGATGCTACATGAAATAAGCTAGCCAAGGCTGAAGATCTCATACCTTCAAGGTTGCCACAATTTTGCCTAATGCAAATACCAAAATAATTTTGCAACCGATCAATTGTAGCGTTTGTTAAACCGCCTTTACCATTTAAACCCTTGACTTGCTTTTTTAATTGTCTACAACGAGATCCAATGCGCTTTTGAAAATGCCCAATACAATCTAGTTTAATTACTTCAATACCCTTGTATGTGTTTTTGACAGAAGTGTAGCTTTTGCTATCACCATCACCCAAGTATTCTGTGTATCGTAAATTAAATTTTTGCAAAGAGCGATTAAATATCTTTATTGCCCCAACTGTTTCCATTCCACCGGCTGATCCTTCATAGTTTTTATTGCAAATATGTGATTTTTTTGCTGTTAGCTGCTGCTTTGAATTACCAACATCTTGATTTTTGTCACATATTTTACACTTTCTAGATAATGCTTCGACATCTAAAACCTTCCCATTTTTAATTGATAATGCTGCCGTCACCCCATTGTGTGAATTAAATCCTCTTTTTTGCCATGTTCCATCAACAGAAACTCCAATATCTAAGATCTCATTAAGAGATTTGCCTTCTCTGAGTTCTTGTACAGCTTCATTCGTAGTTTCAACAGCAACAGTTTGTGCTGCAGTTGCCAATTTTTGAACAATAACATTATAGCTTTTATTGCATAATCCTTTTGGGATATTCATAAGAGTGGCAAACCGATGTAGACCAGCTTGGCCTTGACCAAGTGTTCTCATGGCATACACTAATCTTTTGTTAATATCAAACCCTGCTACATTTTTTGATGTGTCAAAGTCTAACTTGAAACCACAAACACAATTTAATGATAAATTTGATGCATATCCTTTGCAAGACTTTTTATTTTCGCTTAACGACAACTGTGATGGTCGCAAACATTCTGGACACCCAAGTTTATCAAAAATGGAAGCAAGAATTTCTAAATCAATAAACCTGTAGCCACTGACACATTTTGAGTTTCCACTTGGAACCATTAGTTGCTTTACTTTTTTTTTTGATGCACTTTTAAATACACTTTCACTTTCAATATTTACCATATTTTCATTATTACTATTTACATTATTTACACCAATATTTACACATTTTTCTTGCTTTCTTAAACCAGAAAATGTACATTTACGTTTTCGAAGACGTTTTGTAGAAAATTTTACTCTATCACTTTTATATTCAGTTTTAGACTTGTCCATTTTTTTAAATTATATAGAAAGCTTGAGTTGATTGTGTAGAAGCTTGAAAAGATGACTAATTTTAGCACTATCAGTCAAATATGTGGTTTTAATGTATGGCTTTAGAGATAATGGGAAGCATTTCAAACTAAACTGCAAAAAAAAAACCGGATAAAAAGCTATACTAGATGTGTTTTATTCACAGTTTTTCTGTAACTAGGGGCGTTGCTAGGTAATTTTGAACTCAGGTGGTTGTACAAAAGTGTCATTTATTGATATAAAAAATAGAGAATTTCGATTAAGGTTTTTACCATTTGATTTCTTAATAAATTTACTTTTAAAATATCTGGAAAAAAAAAATTGAAAAAAAAAAATTTTTCTGAGAGGTTTTCCCCCTTAAACATTTTAAATAATAAAACTTAGAAATAGTAACAAAACAAATCGTTTAAAAACTAACTTTCCACTAGCAGATATTAAAATGCAAAACACTACTCTAATTAAACTTTTTTTTTTTTTCCATTACTTAAAATAAGGTTGTTCACTTTTGCAAGAGTTGAGTTTTCGATAAAAAAAAAACAAAACTTTTCGAAGCTCTATTTTTGTTTCGGTAAGTTTAAAACGATTTTTAATTACTTAATTTTGAACCGAAATGAATTTCACTTTTCAAAATTAACGATATTTTTTTGATACATTTTTTAATCGTCGAAAACCAAACAATAGCTCCGAAACTATTTTTTGCTATAAAAGTT